CTACAAAACTGAACCTCAAAGCCACTGAAGTTACTTGTAGAATTTGAAAAGTAGAAACAAATGAATCACAATGTACTGCCAAAGACTGATCTCTTTTAAGGATAGTGACTTGTCTCTTGAAATAAAATATAGAGGTTGACAAATAGGATGCTTTAAAATATAAGGTACAGAATAACCGAACCGGAACACAAAACATTTCTAAATAGGTTATATTGAGAACATTTCATAAGCATTAAAACATTAATTTAAGAATTACAAAATTAAAATAAAACGTTTGGTACACTCAAATAACAATTATTATTGTAATAGAAAATATTACCAAGTTGAAAATATATTTTTGAAAAACGTTTGAAAATATTTGTTATTTTAAGAAAAGAAACTTCATGTGCATTCCAAAAGCAGAGCAAATTGAAGCAATGTTTGATTTGTTTTCCCAAAGAGCATCATACCTATTAAAATGCTATTATATTTACTTCATTCTAGTGTGCAAAATAACTTTAATAAAAAGAGGTATATTTCTTTTATTTACAAAATACCAATTTTGACCAAGACTTATTGAAGCCGACTAAAAAGTATTGTCATGTAAACAATTTTACGTATGATCAAAATTAGTGGGTAACTCGGACTTTATTAGCAAGACGCACAGGTTTCTTTTGAGCAGTACTAACATATAGATGAGTGAAGAGGTATTTTCAACTACTGAAAAATATTCAATTTTATATACATTTTACATTAATATTAATTTGTGAAATTTTCAGTGTGTGGGGGTCAATTGCCCTCACTAATTTATATTAGACGCAATGCCACAAAAATAATAATAAGAAGAAACAAGCAAATTCAGGTAAGAGAAATTGTAAAATATATATATATATATATATATATATATATATATATATATATATATATATATATATATATATATAATAAAAAAAATTAATGACAATTAAAAAGTTGGGTGACGTCCTTCATCGGATTAAAATGATGTAATTATATATCCTGAGGAAGGGAAGTGGGAATATAAAAACGCAAACCTTGGTTATAATTATGCATAGATAGAAAATGTTATATCAGAAATATAGACAAATGTTTTAAACTTCAGCGTTCCAACATTTCTGAGATGAGGTGTTATGTACACTATTTACATTATTCGGACTATTGTCCTCATCTTTGTTGCCATATTTATCACAAAGTTTTGGCCGTTGTACACTCCTGCCTTCTTCAGGTGGTTGTGTTGTTCTAGTTCTACGTGCATATCTGTTGGATGTCAGTTATTAGTTATATCCTGTTAATTCCCCTCTCCAATTTCTCTATTGCCTTAACCAGGTATTGAACTCATACTCTTTGGGTCCTGTTACTAGATCTATCTAACGCCTTTAGCCACTGTGCCATATGTCCTTGAGGACATCTGTGTATGCATTTCTGGGTATTCAGCAACCATTTTTTTTACCAGTGCTCATATTGCAATTTTTTGCTGTTATCATTGAATGTTTTTTACCAGAGCTCATATTGCAATTTTCGTTGTTGAGGAGGACAACAACACTCAGAAAACAGTCTGCCTCTGCCTTATGTGAAGGGGTTATCAGAGAAAATACAAAAAGAGCTGCGGTTCATATAACATCAGGACAACCTTCAAAAGCTGGACGACACTTTGCAGATATCTCTCCCGAGTAAGACCTCCATAGAGGAGAACATGATTAAAGACTGTGTGTACGCCATCCCTGCAGCTGCGGAAAGGAATATAGAGAGGAAACAGGCCTCCCCTAAAGGTAAGGCTTCAAGAACACCAGAAAGCTGTAACATGATGGAAATGGATAAATCAGGCGAATAGCTGACCACATATGGAGTTTGTTAACAACAAAACTTTAATTTCACATCTGCTATTCTGTTGGATATATTCAAATAAATGTTGATATAATTTTGTACAATAACAACGTGTCCGTTGAATAAAAGTCGTTTTAATAAAACATTTTTGTTTGAAGCTTTTCCCAAAATATCTTTTTGTATTTCAGCTGCATTCAAAAAAATTGTTCTTGTCTTATAATTTCAGATTATATAAAATCATTACGAGTATTATGGATTATTTTGAATATATATTGAAATTACATAGATAGTGAACATTGAAAATTTAAAAAAGCTAACTACTGTTTTGATTTATAAAACTTAAATACTTTTAATTCGGGAAATCTGTAATTTTGTTAAAAACATTTTTGGGGTGCTACTGTTGAATCTTATCTCAAAATGGTCAAAAGGTGTTGTGTGACTAATGAGCAAAATAAGGTGCGGGCATTTCGTCTCCCAAAAGATCAAGGTAATACCAAGAGATATCACCTTTAACCACCCAGACACTGTTGTTTGTGAAAGGTATTTCCACCTGGTTCTGAATATGTGTCTGTTCAGGGTAAAGCACGGCGCAAAATCCTCCATCAATATTCAATAATTTGCCATTAAGTGTGATACCAAGTCCATTACCAAGGACAACAAAAAAAGTTCCACTTCTGTGTCAAGTGTGCAAAATGATGAGCTTGAGAATTTCTTAGAAAAAGAATTGAGAATTTTACAAATTTGTGTGCTGATTTTGAGCATTATGATTTTGCGCCAGCAATTACCTGCTACAAATCAAACAATCAAAAGTTAATCCAATCTTGTCATTTTTTTCGATTTTTTATTAAAATTTTGAAAACTTGACATTTGAATATCATGCAGGTATACACACACATTGAAAAACGGAATGAATATGTTTCAACATTGGTCTCAAATTGAGGAAGACTTGATAACTTGAAAATTAAATCAAACGAAAGAAACAGGTTTTGAGACAACATATCGAAGTTATGTCACCATGAATAGTTGGCAAAAAAGTTGGCAAGTCAGAAATTCTTGTTGATTTAGTCAATCATTTGAAAGGTCATAGAATTGCAGTTTGTGACAATAATCGGACCAATCAAGTTTTATTCAAGAAATTTGATACTGTTGCAAATAAGCGTTTGGTTACTAAAAATGTTTTATACTTGCTTTTCAATTATGTACATATATTTAAAAGTATTCACACAATAACTGGATAACTGAGGATTGTTCAGAATTGCTGTTTTATTCTGATGATAAAGAAATGACAGCAAAATGGGAAATAGTGAAATAACTTTATGCGCATGAAAAAAATCAATTTGTTAAGAAACAAAATAGCAGTTCTTCCAAAACCAATTGAAAGACAAAAAGTTTTCCACAATTTGAAAGTGTTTTGTGAGAAGACTGTAACTACAATGAAAACTCATCCATTATTAGAGGGTGATGAGACAAGAGAAACTGTTACTTTCATCAAAGGTTTGAAATTTTGGAAAATAATGAGTGTAAAAGATATTTATGGAAGTGCCAAGACAAATGATCCACTGAAAAGAGTGATTTCAGATTGAAATGATGGAAATTTGACATTTCTTGCAAATTTTGGAAGTGTGGCAAAACAAATGAGGGGAAAGCAATGAAAGAGAATAAAATCCTTCACAAGAAACACTAGTATGGCTATCGAGCAATGTAATGGTTTAATTGATGTTTGCAGATATTTCAATTTTGTCATTCTTGGAGAATTTACCATCGACTATCTTGAAATTGAATTTGGAAAATTGAGACAACTTACAGTACAAAATGTTATTCTTCGGTTGAAAGCTGATGTTAGAAAGTATAGCCATGATCCAGGCCATATAATTGCTGTTAGATGAATTGGCAGGCCAAACATCTGATCCCTTGCCAGACGTAGAAACTGATATCACTAAAGATATTAAAATGTTTTATATAGCTGAATATATCACACGAAAAACTTGTCTTGCAGAGGAGGAAATATTCAGTGATACTTTTTATTATCATGCGTATGGAAGTTTTTTGAAAGAAATGGGTTGTGGTGATTTAAAAGTTCCACTGGATACGACTGTTCAGTTGGTGTTTTTCTGTTTTATAATGTTCAATGCTGTCAAATCAAAGATTTGCAGAAATTCTTTAACAAAAATTTAAATATTGGTGTCTAAAATGCATCATTTCAATACAAAGTGAGTGCATGGAACAAACGATGTTTCTGTGTTTGATATCATCAACTGGTGCGAATCTTTTACTTTTTACCCCAATATAAAAGTCATGATCTTTTGGCACAAATACAAATTCTCTAAAACACCCAATGGACATAAAAATCACTTTTTGAAATATTATGCATTTGCATTTGTTAATTCATTTATTATAAGAATTCGTTAATAATTGCCATATTTAACAATTAGCTCATTGTGGTTCTTGTTTTCCTATGTAAAACACATAACATCAAAATAATCTCACAAGGGAATTTTGTAATGCTTTTAAAGTTATGTTGCCAATGGAATTCATTGTGAATATTCAGATTTGATACACAAACTTCAAATAATTTCAGAATTATGACATTATCTCGCTTTGTTTTTATTTATCAGAAGCCGTTCTATAAGCTGCAATTTGATCCGGTGTTTGTAATTGGCTGTGTCTCTTCTTCCTCTTCCGCCATTGCTCTCTTTTTGTCTTGACTTCGCGCCCAAATCCACACAATGAAAAATATAACTCCGATACCAAACAGCAGGGCGACTGTGATGCCAATGGCTAACGGGGTGTAATTTTCAATGTCCTCTCCTGAACCCTTCCCTTCTATATTTATCACGGAATATTGCTTATTCGATCTAATATTTTGGTCTTCGATATTAGATCCAGTCACAGAAGTCATCGATGAATTATTCATAAATTTCTGGGAAATAAAGTCTTTTATCGTTGAGGTGGTCGCATTTGTATTGGAAACTCTTTTTATAAATTTCTTCCCTGTTGACGATTTGGTTCGAGTGACCAGAATTTTTGTTAATGTTGGCTGTGTAGTAATTGGTTCAATTTTCTTATCGGTTTTTAATTCATAAATGGAAGCATTTATTGTTGACGTAATTAATGTAGGTTGTATTGATAATCTTGTTAAAATAGTTTCTTTTCCTTTTGCGTCATCAGTTTTACTATACAAGGAAATTGGAGTTGTAATTTTCATTAAAATTTTAGTTAAGAATGGATTCGTGATGTTTGGAGTATCTGGAAAAACAAAAAACAAGATTACATACATATAAAATATTACTTAAAAAAATTAAAATCATGTCATTTTGTACAAATGTAGCACCTTTTTTATAGAAGTATACATAAAATAAATTTCTAAGTCTATAATTCATCCAGGCATTAAATATTTTTGGTACATCTGTGGCTTCTGCGATGTATTTAGAAATTCTATATAAAATATAAAGAATCTGCAATGTTATTGGTCCTAACCAGGTATCACGGCTTCAGTTACTTTCTCACCGCCCTAAAGTAGCTCCCCAGTGCTTTTTCTACAAATACTTTCATGATAATTGTTCTGATAAAGTTACCGCCATTTACCTAGACTTATGAATTTAAGTACTAGATTGGCGGTAAGGTCTGATCATTCTACAGTTGAAATGACTCGGTGTAACAGTTATATGCTAACAGTTTCTTCTATCGCTTGTGAAACTCTCTTCCGGTCTTCAAAAATTTAAATACAATGTCAATCGTTATCTTCTATTTTCTTTATTCCTGTTCTTTGATTATATCTCTCCTTAATAATGTTTTCTTTTTCACATTTTCTCTCACACTCAGTAAACTCTTGCGTTTCAGTGGTTTTATTGCTTTGCTTGTAGTGAAATTCCAATTAAAATACTACAAAAAGTTTCATAAAAATGATTTCAAAATAATCCTACATTTTGACTTTGCTACGAATGCAGAGGTCACGTGGGAATCTCGAGTCATTTTGGGAAAGCACGTCAAGAGGTTGACTGACCCAGTTACCCGTAGCAACAGACGTCTAGACAGAATCTAGACAGGGGACTGACGTAAGGTCCTGAAGCAGCAAGAACTGGAATTCGCACCAAAATGCAGGACACGTGGGAAATAAATTAGAAAATTACTTGGAAATCAGTTGCTGTCTTGCTCCTTTGAAGGAGCAAGACTCGAAATCGAAGCGCTGATAACTTATGAACAGAAAGATGAGACTCATTTTGGTAATGATGGAACTTGTCCGATTCATCATAAGCAACTCCGGATAATAAATATAAGGATGTATATTTCTGTTCGTCAACTCCAGATTGAAGAAGATAAATCGAGTTATTTATCACAGAAGACGCAAGGAAATTTGCACGCTGAGAATACAGCCTGTGTTTGAAGAAAGAAAAGAGAAATCAAGAGAGAAGAAGAAAGTATATATCTCTGTTGCAGCCGGGCCGTGTTTGAAGCTGAACTGTGTAAAGAAGAAGAAAGAAAGAAAGAAAGAAAGAAAGAAAGAAAGAAAGAAAGAAAGGAGAAAACAAGAGAGAAGAAGAAAGTATATATCTCTGTTGCAAGCCGGGCCGTGTTTGAAATTGAATTTGTGTAAAGAAAAGAAAGAAAGAAAGAAAGAAAAGAGGAAACGCAAGAGAGAAAATAAAGGACAATGAGTAAGAGAGAGAACTGAATATAAAGATAAGTAACTATATATTTTGGACCCGTGTTAGAAAGATACACATGCATCCATAAATTTTATGTTCTCACAAACACCTTTCCACATGTCAAAATAGTAATATATAAGTCCTATCCCATTTTTTTTTTTTTTTTTTTTTTTTGGTTATGCGTTGATTTCTGCATTCGTAGTTATTCATACTTTTTTTTTTTATCCGTTCGGGTATCCACTTAGATTTGGGCATATTTTGGTGTCCCAACATAAGTCTTGAGGTTCTGGTCGTCGGATGCTTTACTCATGCTTATATTTTTCTTTTATTGTAATATCATGTGTATATGTATATATTAAAATTCTTATACCAAAATTTATTACGTCTCATCGTTCATCCTTGTGTTGAAACCGAAGCGAACCTGGGAAAAGACTACTGTTTGATTATCTCAATCGAACAGTGTTCTTTAAAATATTTTGTTTACTAATTGTCCATTTGTCATGGTCTGGGAGAGATAGCCTGTATCTCTCCATAGACGTGATAACGTATATATCTCCTGGTTGGCGTATGATTGCGTTATAAATTCGTCGAGTAGGGCATATGATAGACTTCCAGTTTTTCTATTTTCCGGTTAACGAAGGATAGTTGTCAGACCGAAAGGGAAATTAGCCATGGACACAGATGTCCATTTCAATTACATTCAGACTACTGGTGCGATGCTTGGTTTCGGCTAACATCAAAAGTCGCTTTGTGTTATTTTTTTGATTGGCCAAAATAATTTTATTTTTCGGTGTTCTTTTCCTTTTCATTTTTTTTATAGCGGAAGTTATGCGTGAGGCCTCTCTTATTTTGGTAATTTTTTTAGTCACAAATCACTAGACTCTAGTCTAGTCTAGCAAAATTCCGACGTTTTTCTTCCTCTTTTTTATTTATATATAAGAAAATGCCTTATCTTAATTTGAATTCTTTTTCTATATTTCCCTATTTTATTTTTTATCGGGACTTACAAATCATCTCCTTTATAATAATTTAAAGAATGTTTCTTAGAAGAACAAGTAATAATCTTCGTTTTACTCCAAATGTTGCTTAAGTGGTTTGACGAATAGAACTTGGATATCTTCGATCTCATTACTAGATGTTGTCTTGTTACTTAAAAAAGTACTTTCTAACAAAAACCTATCCAACCAGGAGAGTTTACAAACAAAACTCTTGCCTCGCAACAAATAAGGAATCACGCCGGCCAGCGAATTGTATTAATATTTTCGCTTTATGCATTATCTTGCTGAAATCTAGGCGATATTTTATAAAAACGTGCACAGGCGCAAAAAAGTGAGTTCGCATCAGTTTATGTTCGCCACTCGAGTTGTAAAACCTTGTCTCTTCATTAATTTCTGAATGAAGGATGTTGTTGCCTAAACCAGAAAAAACTTTTAACGAATTCAAGAGACAAAATTTCACCACTTCTTCCCGTAACGTATTCTTAATCTGTGGCACACCTACAACATTCGTAACCTCAAAATTCTGTGAGAATTATTAACGTTTTCAGTGAAATTATAACCCCAAGTTGTGTAATAGAACTGATTTCTCAACGAAAGAAAAGGAACTAATTTAAACCAAGTCAAATGTTTCATTTAATTTCTAGCTAATATGTAACAAAGGGACAATCAGCTTTATAAATGTAATTAAATTCTGTAAAATATTTCCGTTCTGAAATTAGATCATAAAAATATAAACAATTGTGAAATTCTTAATGAATATCAGTATGAGTAAATTCAAACTGTTTATTAGGAAACATTCTTTATATTTCCGCAGATGCCTAGTGTGATAATACTTAAGGAGTTTTTTGCTTCTATTAAAAACCTCATATCTATTTTGCTCTCTTTGCAACATTGCGGCCATTGGTAACGAAAATTTACAGATAATCTCCTTTATAGAAACAACACTGATTGCTTTTCTCAATGTAAATTTAAATGTCTTTTAGTGGGCGGATTTTTATATTGATTTTTACCTTCCTGATTCCAGTGCCTTCACAAATGACCGATTTTGTTAAATCAAATAAATTCTAATTCAATAAAACGGTTCCGCATTCCATTCACAAACGATTCTTTTCAGTATCTTCCCATTTTTAGATCGGTTTTCTTAATTTTCTTTTGTATACATAAGAATTACGCCATTAATTCATTCATTTATTTGACACGAAATATTGGAAATAAAAAGTATCTTGTGAAAATATAGTAATGTATAACGATATTTCGCAAGTAGATTGTTCTAAGGCATCGAAGAGTGATATTTTATGTTCTTTTGCTCTTTTAACAAATTACTATCTTCCGATGCAAAACATCTCACACCATTTTTACTGAAACACGCACTTTAACGGTTTCAAAAATAAAGCCTATCCAATTATAAAAATACCGAACCATTCTTTTGCTGGAAAATGACAAATGAATAAACAGAAAATAGATTAAAATTGTATATACATTTTGACCTCATGTGCAAGTCAAAAGATTCTAGAATTACATAATATAAGTAGTTACCTTCACAAAGACCTCCCCACAATTGGATGTCGTCAATAGCAATATCGTTCTTGTGGTTTTCACCGGACGTTGTCTGAAGAATGATCTGTCAAAGAAAATCATTGAAAAAAATACTAAGTATGATTTATATTGTCTTGGAAACTTTGCATCTTGTAACATTGGCAATGAATTACCATGAGGTGTCTATTGTATATACCCACTGATGCTAACTTTACAAGTTATTCGTGGGTTAAAAGATAAATTTATTTTAGATGCTATTCATCTCAAATCAGAAAATTTACAAATAAAACTCTTGGCCGTACATTAGGAAACTGGTATATGGTTGTCGAAGAATGGACGTATTGTACTGACGTCCATGTTACTCACAATATAAGCAAATGAAGAGTGATTAAAAATTAGTTTTGAAGAGAGGCGGTAGCTGTTATAAAAACGACGACCGGACAGCTGTTATAAAAACGATGACACTGGGCAATCAGGGTGGGGGATTGAACTGTCGCGTTACATTTACTTATTCAAGTTGTGAATGTTACCACATCAGCCGTAATCTGTTCCCGCTATGCTGCAACTAGCCATGTTGCAATTAGTTTTCTATGTTGCAACTGGTGTTGTGTTTACCTGACAAACTAGATATCCATCCAGTCTGTGGTAAACATTATAGCTGAAAACGAATTTAAATCACTAGATCATTTATTATTGGCAATTCCTACATAATTCCATCTTTTTTCCTTCTTTCCTTAACCAAGCATTTTATACGTTCTAATTAACCATATCGTTTGGTTTCTTTTCCATTATAGCTTTTCCAACTTTCTGGACTGAAAGCTAGCACCTCACAAAGATTCCTTTCCCTTTTAATCCTCTTACTTTAAATGAGCAGTTTAACAACTGTAGCAACATATTTTGTCTCCGTTCTTTATTTTAAGCGAGTTCCTTCCTTTTAAACTCAACTCTGTCTCCATATCTGTAACAGCTAGGAGACAAAAAGGGCTTTACTTACTGATTCGGAATGGCTCTCTTCCAGTGAACCTTTCTGTCTATAAATTCTTCGGTAACTGGAATTGTCATATAAGCTTTTTCTTCAGAAGATTCTCTTGACATAAAACTAAATACCCTTAAATGTCTAGACAAATCGATAAAAAAAGTTTTCTTTATTTTCCGAAGTAGAGTCTAACGATGAGAAATACATGTATTTTGGGTGAATATGAAAATATTCGGGTAATCTTTGCTCACTCGGTCATTCGAAGATTCTATCACGTAAACAAGCTTTTAAATGATGAATACAGATTTCGACTCTCACCCATGCCAATCCTTAACCAAGCATTTTATACGTTCTAATTAACCATATCGTTTGGTTTCTTTTCCATTATAGCTTTTCCAACTTTCTGTATCCCCATACTCACTTTTACAACTAGTACAACTATTTCGTTCACTCAAATCACGAGATAGTTACAAGGCCGTATCCGATTGTAACTGCTGTAGTCAATTCTTGAATGTGACAGGGAGATTTATAAGATAGACAATACCTGCTGAGTAAACTATATATATATATATATATATATATATATATATATATATGTATAAAGTAATGGTAATCACTATGGAATTTCCAGGAGGATTTAGATTCAGGGAGAGCTCTATGTCCAAAGACAGAGCAAAATTACTATCAATTAAAGGATATCAAACACTTATTTCATGAGAGCTCTAACCTTAAAACTATACAAAAAGATTATTAAAGTTTCAAGATTTTAGGTTTCAAGACAGATATATCGTCTAACCTAAAAATAGTCAAGTTCCTTGATATCACTCTTAACCTTTCCAACATCACCTTTCCAACATCATCCTAAAAGAGGGTCAAACCCCCATTTATATTAATGTCCATTCTAACAAAAAATGTCCTCTAACAAAAAAGTTTTTAATGAGAGTAAGTTTATATGCAACCAAGCACTTAGACGTAATTTTTAAATAACGAATACATTTCACATTTTGTAAGTTATAGTAATGTGGTATGTTATCAATTATACTAAAAAAAAGTCTTAATTAGCATTATAGAAATATTAAAATTGTCACAAATTTAAATAGATAATACAAACTTTTTAAGGATATTTACTGAGCCAACGATACAGAGTCGAATGGAGTGGGGTGGGGAGAGTTTGTGTTATGATAAACTTCCAAATAAAAGTTTAACTTTGAAAGCGTTTGAAAGCTTACCTTTTACCTGGACAATCGCGGGGAAATATGTAACTACCTTAACCACCGAGCAAGCTATAGATATTTACAATGCTTATTTACTGTGTCTAACAGAACCAACTTGGTAGGGTACCCAGTGAGGATCGAATGAACAACATTGATTGGTTGACAATTGAAGAGTAAGCGTTCTCAAAGCAAATTTGTGGCTTTCACAACACAAAGAAAGAAAATCACTTGTAACTCACGAGAACGTAGCCAAAAACTGCCTGAATTTTCCTATTATTTATTGTCGTGAAAAATACAACAAATGTGGCACAAGGCCGAAAAGGGGCTGGGGAAAGGAGGACGGTCATCACTTGTCTTAAAATAAAACTTAGCTAGCCACAACCACTGACCCTATCATATTAAACAATATTCCTATCACCAAAACAACACATTTATCCATACCTTTCTTACTACATCCACCAAAATGCCTCTTTGACTCAATGAAAATCCTAAATACACCCCTTATGTACAAATATTGTCTGTGGGGGAGGGGGGCATAAAACAACAATTTAAAAAAAAATCCCCAATGAGTATATACAATATGTCGAAATATATTTACAATAAACTAAACAAAATTAGTGTTAGTATTAAAACCCCCCACAAACTTTGAATGTGGCAGAAATATCAGTTAACCGGACGAAATCGATGCGGGACTATGAAAATAAGGACACATTCAATCCGTCAGGCACTCACACAAGCACTCACTCATTCATACACAACAACAAATACGAAAGCACATGCACGAAACGAAAGGCGCCCCACATCCACCAGAGAACTGACATCACTGACGACCTAAACGAGGGAGGGGACGGGGAGTTAAACTAAAGGAAGAAAAGTGGGGACAGAAATAAAAGGGGACCAATGAGCAAACACACCCTAGCTAAGTTTATAAGAACAGGAAAGAAAAACTAAACAAAAAAATACAAATTCCTACTCTAACCTAATTTCGGGATGGGTTGCCCATGTTCAACCCAGTAAAACAATATCCTGATGCCTAACCGACATCAAAATGTCACTCCAAGTCAGCCCCTTTTACACGGCACAAACGCACAAGATTCACCCACCTTTTGCTGAATGAGGTGAGCCGCCGCCTTTCCGTCCTAATCTTGACTTTAAGCTGATGCTTAAAGTACAAGATCAGTTGGGAAGAGGTGAACTTCTCGCCCTCATAGAACCCCTTCTGACGCGTCGTCCAAATCACGACTCTCATAACCCCTAGTAAGCAACAGAACACATAGTGTTCAGCCTTCGTCAAATGCGGCACCACATTGCTACAAACAGAGCTAACTTCAAGGACAAAAACTTTCCCTGCAACAATGCGAACATGAGGCCTTCAACAAACTTGCACAACGGCACTACCGCCTTTCACCGAAAAAAAGGCGTGACCAATGGTCTCGACTTCCCCAGTACAGCGACGACAGTTAGGATATTTCTCCAAGCCTGCTGAACAGAGTCTCTTGCCGACCCAGAGGGCTTCACGAATCACCAGCCAGGTGAGTGATGCCTCATCGTTATTGAGGCATTTCAACCCAGGCGCCCAAGGCCATATCGAGCGAGCCTCCTGCTTCGTAAGACCGAGCTCGCCAATTAGATCATCTTGTGCGGCCCCCCTAACTAATACTTGATACAATGCCTTACGAGACAACGCCTGGGCGTTGGGGAGGCCATCTGTAGCCCGCAAGAGGAGCTTCAGAGCGCGACGACATTCACGATAGAAGGAGCACTCGGCTCGTGGTGTACGGCCGGCCTCTTCTTCGCACGAGTGCACACTTCTCAGGGACGGGAAATGTTTCTGGACGTCTTCTTTCCAAAAGGCACCCTCCTCATCCGACCCGCGACACATTCGGTCTAGAAAGGTGATGCGAAGCATATATTGACGAATCTCAATGCTAGGCATACCCAGACCGCCCTCCGAGGGATGAAGGCAACAGATCTCGCGACATACCATATGGGCCTTGCCTCTCCACAAGAAAGAGAACAAGGTCTTGACTAATGACATTAGGCGGGCATACGGGAGTGGAAGCACAGAGAGTCGGTACAGGAGAATTGGATATATGTGAAACACATACTTCCGCCCCTTCCCTTCAGGGAAAGGCTCCTCCGAGACCACAGATTAACCGCGAACTCGGCCTTCCCTTGTACCTCCGACCAATTCATTTCCAACTGAAGATCAGGACCGAACCAGACGCCGAGAATCTTGATCGGCCCATCCGTCCAGAGGAAAGGTCCGGGAAGAGAAACTTCCCTCCACGCACCCAACCGCAAGCCAACAGACTTATCGCGGTTGATCTTGGCCCCTGTCACCATCTCATACCCCCTGTCACCATCTCATACCCCCTGATCTCCTTGCTGACTTCGTTAATCTCGGCTCTGCTCGAAACAAGAACCGAAACGTCGTCAGCATAGGCTGAATATCTGGCCGAGGTGGAAGCACCAGGCAGCGAAATTCCGCGTAGGACCAGATTCGCCTTTAACTAGCGAAGGAATGGTTCCAACGCAAGAACGTAAAGCATAGGCGAGAGCGGACAACCTTGACGAATGGAGCGAGACAATACGAAAGGCTTCGATCTTACCCCATTCACTTCCACCAGCGCAGGGGGGTCGCATACAAGATTCGGATCCAGGAGCGAAAGTCGGCTCGAAACCGGCTGCCGAAAGGACAGCCTCCAGAAATCGATGGTCAACCCTATCGAAGGCCTTGGACTGATCTAAATTGATCAGCGCGGCTTCACTGTCGACTTGTTCTAAGATCAAGCGTACCATGTGAAGGTTATCCTGAATAGTCCTGCACCTTCACAGCACAAGTCTGTTCGGGGCCAAACAGACGAGACAGGACAAGCTGCAGACGGTTGGCTA